GTGTCCTTCCAGTCAATCACTGGGCTCATGGACTCTATTCTAGCCGGTGTAGTGCCCTGCATAATAGTATCATCGTCATCATCACCCAATCGTGCTTTACCTCGTGAGGCAGCGCCTGTCGTCATCCTGCAAAACCAAGCAGAATCATCCCCAAGACGAGACTCACCAGTGTGAGGAGGCAGAAAGTTTGAAGTGTTGCTGAGGTCCATGAACACCTCCCGTTTACGGGTTTCCATCACAGAATGACCATCCTTCCCAATAGGGACGTTTTCAGACCGCTGAGAGTGCTGCGAACGGTTGCTAGTGAGCATAGTAGTTAGAAGACTTTTGTTAGAGTCGATATCGACCGCTGGGGCAAATCGCGCTCGCTCTCAATAATCGATCATTCCTGCAAAGTGCATGTACGATGCATGATGCAGGAAACGCGCATACATCTTGGTGGTGAGCAAAGTTGTAAAGACTGCTGTCCCGTGCTATTCAACATTTACTGTTTCATTGTCTTTCGTATGCATCCAGTCGGCCGCCGTCACTTCCACTCATTACACTAACTACTCCTCTTAATCAATGTCTGTATACCATCTTGTACTCTTTCATTGATTCTGTACGTAGTACGTTGAACTTCGTTACATCTACACATCGTCTCATATGACTCGGGGTGTACGTGGTGCGTTTAGTCACCTTTGATTACCATTAGCTCACGCGGAGGCGTGTGTCGGCGATGAGCAAGTGCTCGTAAAGCTGGGTAATACGGTTTGCGTTGCGTTGCGTTGCTGTCCCGTGTTCATTGAATCACTCCAGGAATTCAGAGTCGATTCTAGCATTGTATCATACGTGTAGAAAGCGATTCCGAGTTCTGAAATCAGTTCATTGAAAAACCCCAGTGAAAAAACGAGTCTTTAATAACAAGCAATACATAATTTAATTTGACAAGAACGAGATCGGCATTGGTTTTAGGAACTATGATAAACACAACAGTAGAGTTTTCCCAGTAAGTAATAAACACAACTAACATAGGTACCTAAGCTATTGGGTTTCAAGGCATCTCTGTTCAGTGTGTGTTGGACTGTGGTCGTCGTCAGCTTTGACGGTCTATGACCGTCGGTCATAGCACAAGTAGAGTTGTGTTGCTTGGACAAGGGGGTTCGTGAAGAAAGCCGACGTTACGGCTGTCGCCCGTCACGTGACGTGGTGACGTGACGTTCATACACATTCAAGCCATCCTTAACGACCTTGGCGTTATGTCTGCCCCCAAGTACCAGTGGTGAATTACTCTACCTATTGCGATTTGCCACGATCTTCCACTGTGTTGTTGTTGACGATGAATGCCATCTCATCGTGACTGTTATGTCTACTCTTGTACTCTACCGTTCATGAAATCGATTCTGTGTCCTCTCCATTGCCTTTACTCCTTACGCGGTAATAGTCGTTGAGCCCTCTGGCAAGCATAAAAGTCGGCACTCAATACAACACCGACTACTCTCATGCCCGGCCTTTCTGCGACATCATCCTCCTCACTTTCCTGCTGTTATCCCCTCTACGGAGATCAACCATTACCTATTCAAACTGCTCTACACCGACAAGGAGTCACTGTAGTTAGCATTGAGCATCACTAAACCTTCTCGCTGCCTTTTTTAACTGTCTTATGCTTCGTTGAGCTGTCGAGCTGTCGTTGAGCCTCTCACAATCACTGAAGTCGGCGATTGTAGGTTTAAAGGCGATAAGCCACTAGGCCCGTGCTGCCCGGCAACAGATCCACACACACATTATCATTGACATCCATAGATAACCCCATACTACTTACTACCTTCAGACTGTTTAAGGGACAGTTTCACAATCCTATCGCATTCCTCAGCCGTAAGAAAGTCGTCAAATATCATAAACAACGGCTCATTCAAGGCAAAGGAAGACGGCTCGAGGGAAGACGATTTCATTAGAAACACAACTGAAATAATTGATAATGTGAAAATTGCATAAAAATACAGTGCGTGTCGATTGGATATGCAACTGTATGCAAATCCGCAATATAACTAACAATGACAAACGCACATCGTCCACATATATCCCCCAACTCTCATAACACAACAGACACTTCAAACCAATATGATCATGATAATAACATGTGCTCAAAAATCAACAGTAAAATCGAACCCACTGAGAAAAACCAACATGACCATTTCGAACACAACACTGTCATCAGAAAGTATAATTTCCCTCACTAGCATGGGTCATGCATTGCCTGCTCACAGCAGCATACGAAACTAATTGAATCGGGCAAACGATCATCACATACGACGATAATAATCACGGCGCTTCATTTTACACACGAATAAACGTCGTCGTCCAACAACTGGTATTCCTCAGGACGGTAGTCTTCAAAATCATAGACAATTTCTTGCGTGATAAATCAGTATTGTACACTAGAAGCACTTTGGCTTTAATCTTCACCCGAGCACCATACGGGAAACACTCCGGAACCTGAAAACAATAACAAATAAAATTAAATCCATTCGCATCTTCGAACAACTTGCAAAAATTCGCATAATTAACACGTAGGAAGATCCATAAAAATTATCACACAACTAATCATTCAACACATCAACACATAAGACACAATTCCAATCCTGCCAACTCCACTTACTTGGAGAGTTGGAACTTCTTCTTAACAGCTTTGAGTTGCGTCCCTGAATAATCCTCATTAGTAGCCACTTGCAATAATGCACATAGGTCCTTCGCCACCACCTTCACGTCGTGCTCAGTGGTAGGACAATGTACGGCCACATGTGGGGGCCACGCTGTCGACTTCCTCAACAACTTGTTGGATAAATACAAGGCGCCCGCCGCCAACTGACTTGCGGAATACTTCAGCATATTATACCTGATTAAAATGAATATAATATCATACGAAGGACTCAATGGAAATGATAAGCATAATCAAGTTGCGATATAAAACAACTTGAAAATATATACGCAATTTTTAACATATATATTATAAAGTTACATAAAACAGGGACAAGGCAACTTACTCTGGTAATGCAAGCTCCAGACAATACTGGGCCAAGAAGAAGTGCTTCTCATCGGCCTCCATGACCTTAGCATATCTTAACAGGAAGAACATAGGCGATGGTGTAGTGATGCAGAATCTAAAACAAACACCAATACAACACTATACGAGAGAAGAGACACTTACCCAAGCGTGTTGAGGATGTCAACTTCCATCTGCATCACTTCGTGACGTTGATAAGTCCGGTCGCATATACTGACTATGTCCTTCATCTCGGGAGCATATATATCTTCATATCTGACAGAAAACACCATCTTCTTCTCATACCACTCCTCAACCAACTTCGACTCACTTAGAAGCAATCAATAAACAAGTAACACCAACCAACTGCAGTCGTGTACGTGGGAGATTTGGACACTGCTCAAGGTAGCGATCAATTAAGTTAACCTGAAAACACACAAAGTCATCAACCGAGAGGAGCACCATCTATAGCTACCGTCAAGTAAAGCGTCTCAGGAACCAACTTGAATTTCCAATGTACCTCCACCAACCAATCGATCAGCACTGCACGCATACGCTGAGTGATATCATTCTGGGTCCTCTGCATGTAGTCATTAGCCTGTCTATATCTGAAGCGGAGAGAAGATACTTTCCTTAAGGGACGATCAAGTCGCCCTACTTCTGTTCAACGCCATTCATATTGATGAAGATTGGATTCACATATTCCGCCACGAACTGAGGGTCTCCGAGATCCTGAAAATCGTCCCTCACAGGAGGGATAAATTCCTGAGTAAAAATCACTTGACGATCCTCTGGTGGGATGGTGTCCTTCCAGTCAATCACTGGGCTCATGGACTCTATTCTAGCCGGTGTAGTGCCCTGCATAATAGTATCATCGTCATCATCACCCAATCGTGCTTTACCTCGTGAGGCAGCGCCTGTCGTCATCCTGCAAAACCAAGCAGAATCATCCCCAAGACGAGACTCACCAGTGTGAGGAGGCAGAAAGTTTGAAGTGTTGCTGAGGTCCATGAACACCTCCCGTTTACGGGTTTCCATCACAGAATCACCATCCTTCCCAATAGGGACGTTTTCAGTGTGCTCACACTCCTCATAATTAATATCTTCAGTAGCGCACGCCAAGCATGAAACGGCCTTAGTACTGGAGAACAAAAGCAAGATAATATATACTCTTTTGATCCAACTACAACTGCATTGTGTTATGCTCTCCAACGTTCAAGATAATCATCCGAGAACAGAGAATGAAGGTCCGACCGAGCAGCTGAAGAAGTCCCACCACACGCAAAGACGGTCTGGAAGGCTGGCTGGTTTACCGGCTTCTCCACGTAGTCTTCCTGCGAAGAGGCGCAAGCCGAGCGACGAAGAGGAGATCCACACGCACTCGTCGCGATCTACCCCCGGACCATCGGTCGCTCATCAAGCGTTGGCGGCGAGTCAGCCCCAGAAGGCAGATGCTACCGAGCTTGGGCACAGACTGCCCTCGGTCACGGTGTCCCCTAAGGCTACCTCAGAGTATGGTCCTCAAGTAGATAGTGGTTCGGCCGCGCCCGCTCTGGCTGTCGGGCCCATCACCCCAGGCAATACTCCAGTACTCCCACTACATGCTACTATTTCGGAGAAAGCTCCAAGGCCCCTTCCTACCACAGCTCAAGGGGGCGCGGCTCCTCAACATTCACAACAAGCTCAATCTTCCAAACCCGGTCTATTTGCTACCACAACTTACTCTGGCATGGCTCCAGAACATACACAAGCTCAACATACTAAGTCCCATCTGTTCGGTGCCACTACCGACTCTAATATTGCTCAAGATCATCCACAACAAGCTCAATATTCCCGGTCCGGCCTATTTGCTACCGCAGCTTACTCTGGCATGGCTCCAGAACATTCACAACAAGCTCAAACTGCTAAAACCGGTCTGTTTGCTACCACAACCTACTCTGGCATAGCTCCAGAATATTCACAGCTAGCACAAACTGCCAAGTCTGGCCTATTTGCTACTGCATCTTACTCTGGTATGGTTCCAGAACATCCACAGCAAGCTCACACTATGAAGACAGCTCCCAGTGTGCTTCCTATCATGGCTCATCCCGTGCCAGCTCCGGAACATTCACAACAAGCCCACTCTCTGGGAGCAGCCTGTGGGGTACAACCTACTCCCTCACAGTATGGTTTTGGTTTGGACAATCCACAAGTTAGTTCTTTGAAGACGGTGCCTGGTTTACACTTTGGTCCAGATGCAGTACGTGAAGACTTCGCTCGTTTCCCACAAGGTCGCGAGGGCGTTCATCCTCTATCGTACACTGGTAACATCAACCAGACATGCCAGAACGGTTTACAACACTCAACCTACTTATCTGAGCAGGAGAAGAGGGCCTCGTCAAAAGCCTCAGACAGCTTGGGAGAGAGCTGGCGTCGTAAAGGGCATGCACCGTTCACTGGCTCCCAAGACCCTAACCTCCCTCTCGCCTCTCTGCTGCGTAAGTGGCAGAATCATGTATCGCAAGAGTGGCGTGAAATTTCAGCGCCAGAGAGTGTCAAGGCGTTTCACACCTCGGCGCTCTCACAGTCATTATCGGAGGAAGTACGGAAGGCTGGCAACTGTGGTGACATCAATACCAGAGAGTACTACAAGCGGCTTTGGGAACATACGGTGGCTCATCTATCACGCTTCCATGACAATGCCAACTACACCACGCTCATCATCCAGCGTCTTCTCGGTCAGAAGCAAGCATGTGGCATATTCGAGCACCTTGATATGGTTCAAGATCTGCTCCGAGAGGTGTGCTTCACGACTTCTGACGATGGGGGCATCAACTGCAGGCTTCATCCGTCTCATGTTGCCAATGCCATCCGTGGCAACTTGATCGCTCCCTTCAACCAATGGTGGTACACGGCAATGAAAACGCTGTCTGGTGCACGACCACCAGTGTTACACTCCTATGATCAACTCCAACAAGCAATATGCATGGTTAAAGAAGAGGCCTTGGCCTTAGGGTACAGCTCTCTGAGAGGTGCACCTCGGCAATCGCTCGCTCCTTCCAATCTCTACCACGCTCCCACTGCTAACCAAGCTGCCGGTGGCAACTCCATCAGCACATCATTCCCCGTTGGCGTTAGCTCTCCGCCAAGCGGCAGTCAGGCGTTCTATACGGATGTTCCTTACGGCACGGAGGCAGGTCCGACGTTCTCTACTGGTGTTACTCAAACCACTGCTGGGGGGCAGCCAATTATTGCTGCTGTCACTCACACCCCAAATGGTACCTTCATGTCTCCTGATGGGCTCATCCACTATCATAATGGTGCGTCGACATGTGCGGTAAGCAACGTCTACGCTCCCTATAGTGCTTCGGCTCTCGCTGCTAACACCTCTCTGTATACAGGTGGAGCATCGAATGTCGCGGCCGCCTCTCCCAGTGGCACGACCAACCTTAGCACCTCCCCCGGTACCTCGGCAACTGCATCGAGCTCTACGAGTGCTGGTGGCACGACTAAGAAGAGGTTGTCCTGCCGTCGATGTTGGGCTTCCGGCCATAAGGATACGGAGTGCAACGTTAAGGAGCCGAAGAACAAAGACCGGCGCTGTCCGTGTGGTAGCACCCGCCATCTCGGCAATGAATGCCCTATAGCGAAGGATGGTGCAGCTGGGTTGCTCTGCGCTCGTTGTTCAGCACGTTCACACCGTTCGGGTATGTGCCCTTGGAGCCTCGATGACATAGCAGCGAAGAAGCATATTCCTGGCACTTCCTCCAGAGAGGGTACTCTCGGAGAGTCCAATTTCTTGTCGGTGCCGTTGGAAGAGCTCCGATTCGATGGCTCATTCGCCTTCCATGTGGCCGCCATCCCCCGAGACAACTCTACCCGACATCCTGGGCAAGTACTGAATAAGCCTGTATCCACTAAGATTCAGGTCAGCTCCAGGCTCCTCGCAACGGCTATCCTCGACTCCGGTTCCGGCAAGAATCTCGCGAGGACGTCAACGATTCAAGCAATTGAGGCTAGCCCCGGGAGCAAAGTGGAATGGGAATCGGTGCCACCTGGTGAGTCACCCGCCATCCGTGGCATCTCGGGTGAAATGCTATGCACTCATCGTATCGCATGGCTCGTTGTTCATTCCCCGAGAAGACCGCATGATGTTGTTCGACTACGTTTCTTCGTCTCCGACGATATCCTCCCGGTGCTACTCATTGGGGTCGAAGGTATGCGTGATATGCGCATGGCCTTAACCTTCACTCCCGATACTGTACGAGCCTACTCGGGTATCCAAGAGGAGCAGTCGATCGCTAGGGTTGAGGAAACTAGACCGCCGACCTCCTTGACTCCTTTGGTTGACAAGCAGGAAGAGCAGCCGGATATCACAGCCTATATCATCGAGGATCAGTTCGACGTGGATCAGAGCCTCTTTGACGGTGCCGCATTTCTACAGCTAGCGGCCGAGTCTGAGCTCCCATTTTATGACGAGCCTTACACACAGCTCGACCAAGACTTCTGCTACGATCTATATGCAGGGTCAGGGAACCCCTCCTTACCCTGCCACCCATCTTTCGTGGGAGGTCCGTCACTTGTGCAAGCTCTGACATCTCCAGACTGCAGCTTCAGAGGTCTTTCGCAAGATGGTGGCACTACCCGATTTCTACACGAGTTTGCGTGGATACAGTCGAGACCGTCCCCTTCGAAAAACAACTACCACTCGGCCCGCAAGAGAGCTGAGAAACTGGCAGACTCCCTCGCGAAACGCGGATTGTTGGACGACTACACCGAGGTCTTCGAGGGCTACCTCAAGGACGATCTTATTGTGAAGGTCAATGAGCAAGAGGTCCATAGCGTCGTTTTCACCAACCACTTCCCCGTCGTGAAGGAGGCCAATGTTGGAACCGCCACAGTAGGCAAGACGGAGGCTAAGCAGCAAGGGAGAAAGACCAAGATCCGCCCTGTGTTCGATTGGCGTGTGGGTAACAAGTGCCAACGGACAGGGGTTGTAATGGACCGGTGTATGTGGCCCTTCTTGGCCACTACAAGGCTCTATCCTCACGCGGTCTGGTGTGATCTACGCACTGCCTTCTTGCGATGTCACGTCACGGTCAAGACCTCAAAATGCTTCGGCTTCGTGCATGCTACTGCGCGTGAGGACGGCTCGTACAACTACCACTACTACAGGTTTAGAGGATTATGTATGGGGAACAAAGGGTCTCCTGCTGCCCTGCAGCTCAGTGCTGGACTGTTGGAGGCGATGGCTAACGAGGAGAGTGCTAGGCGGCTAACGGGCGACGACACTGATCGACCGATTTACAGGGCCATAAAGGACTGTCTGGTACATGACTCGGAGGTTGAGGGCCTGGAACCAGATCAGCTCGTCCGCCCCAGTCCTGCTGCTATACAGCTCAAGGCTACCCTCGAGCATGTCCAGTGTAACAATATCAAGATCTTCACGGCTCAGCAAGAGAACATGCCCGCCCGCGAGGGCCTGAAGGATGCCAAGAGACCGGAAGAACAGGGCCCTGCGGTCCTCCATGTCGATGCCTATGATACTTCTCTGATCGATGCCTACCACAACACTATAAGTCTATCTACGGTGCTATACCTTGGTGGTGGTCGACGAGGTAGATACATGGATGATTGGGCGATCGGTGCGAAAACGCAAGCCATGGCTGACGATATGTACGCGGGTGATTGTGTCCTAGCGGAGGAGTTCGGTCACGAGTTTGCTCCTCGCAAGACGAAGAAATCTTGGCAGCCGACAGAAGCTGAAGGTATGGGCCTGGTGTGGACATCAGACGATAGTCTCAAGTGCAAGCCGGTAGACTTGGCCAAGTTCCGTCGTGTCTGCTCGATGAACGGAGGCAGGCTATCAATTCGCGAGGTCCTATCGGCTCTTCATTCCTGTCATGACCCCCTTGGCCATTTGGGTTGGAGTACACTGGGTATGAAGAGAATTCTGAGGATCGCATATGTGGCCGCTAAGAGCATGGATGACAGGCTGAATATGGAAGATTCTCGAGCATCGATCGACCTCCTGAACGATTTCAATCGAGCCGTTGAGGAAGCACCGGTTCCACGATACGTGGACTTGAACGTCGGAGTGGCGTTATATACCGATGCCTCGACGTATGCCTTGGGTACTTATATCTGTGGTTTGGAAACGGTCAACATTCCCTATGTCTGCAGCTCCAGACTCGTGCCGCTCGGTAGTGTGGGCTTCTCTATCGTGAGGAAGGAACAATTGGCACTTGAATGGGGATTGGAGTCTATTTGCGCCCATATGGTACTCTTCCCCCACTCACCGAATCGACACTTCTACATCCTCACGGACAGCAAGATAGTGCACTATCGTGTCTCCAAGCTTCTGAAGGTGGCATTGACGGTCGATGGTCCTTCAAAGCTGTTGAAGTATCCCAAGTCCTGGACTCAATGGGAGTTCGCTCATGCCAAGCGCTGTGCCATGATGCTCAAGGCCATCGGTACTCTCGTCGGATCCCACGGCAAGGTGCACTTCCGTCATTGCCCCTCACAGTTCAACCTGGCCGATGCCTACTCGAGAGGCAGCTCTCCCAGTACTTTAGACTGGGCTTCGGCACAGAAATGGGTCAATCAGCTGCACAACGCTGTTGGCTCCGTTCAGGAGCCGGAGGTTTCCCAAGCTAGTGTCGAAGTCGAAGCAGACGTTCTATGCTATATTTCTGACGTGAAGAAGGAGGTACTCGACGACATTGTTGACGACGACATCCAGGGGCTTATCTGCCGAGCTCAGCTATCTGACAGCTATTGCCAGGCTGTCCGATTCATTTGTTCTGGGAAGGAACAAGCTGGTTCCCCTCAAGTAGATATCCGAGATTACACTAACGCCGACAGAAGCAAGCTTCGAGCGACCTTCGAGGTTGACGACGATGGCATCATCAGGCTATCGGTTGGGCGAGCCCCGGGACATAAGGGGCCTCTTCTCGTGCCCGTCGGAGTTCAACAGCAGGTCCTCGCGCAATATCACGAGTTCTTCTGTCATCGTCCACCGAGAGATCTACATACAGCTTTGGTCCATAAAGTCTACTGGCGTCATCTAAAACGGGACGTTCGACGCTTCTCTCAGTCATGTCCTTCGTGTCAGAGAAGCAAGGGAGTCTCTATTCATACTGACACCCATCCATCCGCTATGGGACGTGACTTCTCTATCAATGAGTGTATCGCTATTGACTGGTTGGGTGGTGTGAGAGATGACGACGAAGACAACTGCGACCCTATCGGCATAGTCGGTCACAAGCGACTGGGCTCTTCAGGGTTCCAACCAAGGTTTGCACTGCACATTGTGGACTTGCTCACACGACATCATACATTCCTTCTTGCTGAGGACAAGTCCGCAGCCAGTGCACAAGAGCTAGTGGAGCATTACTGCCTTGTTTATGGGTACCCGAAGCTGGTTCTATCAGACGCCGACTCTTCTTTCACTGGTCGTCACTTCTCGAGTTGGTGTCGAACTACGGGTATCAAGCAAGCGTACAGCCCACCCTACGCCCCGTTCAGACGTGGGCATATCGAGAGAGCTCACGCGGAGGTATGGGCCTCTGTGAGGGCGATGAAAGATGAGGCTAGGACTAGAGGCTACCCGCCGAAGCCGTGGTACTGCTATATACAAAGAATAGCTTTCGCCCTCAACAATACTGCATCGGAGCAGCTGGGTGGCTTCTCACCTAACGACTTAGTCTACACCTACCAGACCTCTCTACCGCCCGCCCTTCTAGCAGACAAGAAGCTACCCGAGGATCTGCAGAACTATATTGACAAAAATCTGGTGCCCGAAGAACATCACGACCAGAGATATCAAGGTTTCGTGGAGAAGTTTCGTCGCGAGTTCGAAGCGGCATTGAGCCTATATCGGGGCCATCTCATGAAGGTTCTTCACGAGAACAGTCTGCGAGCGGCAAGCAAGTCCCAACGGCGTCGAAGGCAATACCAGTTCGAGCCCGGACA